AAAAAAAAACTGATGTAAATAATCGCTTTTTTAATTCATATCCACTTGCAGTAGAGATTATATTCCTTTTTTTTTTTCTTTCTAAGTTTTTTTCGTTACTTCTTATTGGTTTATCAAGAGAATGATCTATTTTTCGTAGACATCAAAGATTGAAATAGAAATTATTGAAATTTTTATAATATATTTTCTTATCAGTTTTTATCTTTGCTAAAAATAATAAAAATACGTTAACTTAAATAAGAAACTTATTGATAAAATGATTTAGACTATCGATTTTATTTTATTTCTCATATATTTATATTCTTTAATTGACATAATTAGAATAATTTAATAGCAGTTACAAAAATCTATTCAATTCTTTTCATATTTTTAAGATATGAGTGAAGGAGTAGACATAAGATAAATTGTCTACTATGATTGGCATCTATACTTAGCCGTTTTTACACATCTCGTTCGACTTTATTATTCTAATCATTTTAAATCTATATATAAATAATAAAGTAAACAGCTATATTCTTTTCATATTTAAGATTTTACTAATATTAGATTATTTCAAAAAATACATTCGACCTGTCACAAATAAATCTTTCATTAAAATACTATCTAATAATCTTTGTTTGTATATGCCAAGAAAAGGTGGAGTGTGACTGTGAATTTAAGTTTAATGTGGCTCTTATTCAATGTCGATAGTTATACTCTTAAGGCCACCCACATCCATCTTTGAGTACTTCAATATTTTTGATAGTTTAATATAAAATTGAGAAAATAATTCAAATAATGAAGATTAAGATTATTTCGAGTTGCAAAGAGAATTTGATAATGAATTAGTATAGTTTTATTAAAGAAAATACTCAATGAATATAAGAAGATGTCATCCAATAAAGTTCGTTCAGATAAATATTAATTGAAGGTTGAGATAAGAAATGTGAATAAAATCCAAAATTTTCTTTTAATTAGAGAAGTTTTTAATAAAACATGTGATTAGAAAATCGAATCTGAATTCATTTCTATTAATAGTTGAATATTATATATAAAATGTTTTTCAATCGAATCTTCTTAAAATTGAATATTTATATTTTTTAAATGAGAATAATTAAACAAATATTTTCTATTAAAAATATTCAAATATAAAGTAAAATATTAAACAAAAAGAATTCTTTTCTTTTGAAATATTAAAATAACTACTGAAGAAATAAGATAAATTTAAAATAATCAAATTCTTCTTTACCTTATTTTATATCAGTATCCATTTGAAATGAAACGTTTTTTTTTATAATAATGAAGCAAATTTTCCCTTTAGCTATTCGAATATCAGAATATAAATGTTTCATTTTCCACATTTGTCAATTGAAATCTTAAGATAAGATTAGAACACGATTCGATACGTAAAAGTCGTTTTATTTCGATATTTGAAAATATTTTATAACACGCGTTTTTTTCTTTTTGTATATGCTTAATTGCCTTTTGTATTATTTTTGTGAAGATAAAGAATATTTCTAAAACATATGAGTAAGCGTTTCTTTCGTTCTGTCAAACAATGATCGATTACTCTATTCTTCTATACATTTATTCTTTAATATCGTCGTCAATTGCTCTTACTAAAAATTACATGTGGTTAAGAAAACCAATGAGCCAAGACGGATAGATAAGCCAAGGAAGGAAAAAAGAAAAATAATATTATTTTGATTAATTTTTAAATACAATAAAAATTTTAATTTATTTATTTTTCGATATTGAATTAATTATCTTAGATTTTTTAACTATTTCGATTCCCGATGATTTATCCATCGACATCATTTTTTTTATCATCAGAATCATCTAAAATTCAGCGATCTGTTACAAATAATCAGCAATTGTATAACATAGTTAAAGATTTTTTAATTTTGAAAAAGATGAAATAATAAGTGTGAGTTATTTTTTTGACATGAAACTAATTTAATAAATGATACAGCAAAGAAATCTTATAGCCTTATATTTTAATGATTGTTAAATGTTCATCAAAATAAAAAGAGATTATCATGATTATTTATTTCATATTTTTATTCTAAACGCTTGTTTATCTAAGTTTTATAATAAAAAACAAGTGTGAGTAAAGATAAATGAGAGTATGATGGATTTGAAAAGATCTAGTTTAGTATCGTATCCATCTTTTTCATTTCAAGCGCATTGTCTGTAGAATTTCTTTTTTTCTTTCGAAATGAAATCAGTATTAATTTTATCTGCGCACATATGTTGATTTTTTCATATTGTATAGAAATCAAAGATAAAAAATGATTATTTATTTTTAATATATACTGGAAGAAAATAATTCGAATTAATTGTTTGTTGATAGATTATATTTGCAGTCAATCCTTCAATTCCTGTTCTATTAAATGAAAAATAACTTCGACATATAATCATACAAGTGATAAAAGATAATAAAAAAAGTTATTCGAGTTTTCACTTAAATAAAATAAATAAAAAAAACATTAGTATTAAATGAAATATTACACAAGATGTTTTTAGATGTCTAATTCTCTTAAAATATTGCAGATTGACTTAAAACATTATTCATTCTATTCAACTATTGCTCATATTATCACCATTAGAAAATAAATCGTATAAAAATCTCCGTCGAGTTTCATAGTTACATCCTATGTCATGAAAATCATGTTTAATCATCGATTTTAGTAATCAGTTATACACTACAAATTTATTATTTAAGAATATATAAATTGAAGAGTGAAATAGAATCACGGACATTTGAAGCAAAAAAAAAAGATTAATTTTGTTAAGAATGTGACTACTATGACATAAATGAAATTGAATAATTTAAAAAAAAAATTGATCGTATTATAAGCCTCGCCATCACAATCATTCGTTTCAAAACGTTTCTTTACGATAAGGTGTAGTTTATTTTAGATGATTCTATATTAATCTATAACTCTACTTCTCACTTATGTTTTTTTCATTCTTTTCTCGATATTTTTAATTAATGAGCGATGATAAATATGCACAGAAGCCTTTCACAAATAAACAAAAACAACTCATCGTTTTTAAAGAATTTTTTCCCTCCCTATATCAAATTGCATATAGAGTTATTATTTATCTATTTTATTACATAATTTCTATGCAGAAATTAATGTGAATATTTAATTTTATAATAAAAACATTGATCAATTAATTACATTAGTAATAAGACCTTCAAAATTTAACAGTAACATAAAAGTTCACGTGTAAATAATCTTATAGTTTACCGTTAAGAATGAAGAAGAAAAATCATTGAAGATTAATCACTGATTTTGAGTGCATGAAATAACTTTTTTATAACTAATGTCAATTGCAATCAACGAAGAAATTTCCTGTTACACAAACAAGATTAAAAATCAAGTAAAAAATTCAGCATTAGATGAGTTGCGTACTAATCAATATAGTTTAGTCTCAAATTTTTAAACTGGATTCTTAAAAAATATCTCATATGTTAGATAATTTAACAGTAATAATCAGAAAAGACGAAACATATTTTCCTTTAGTATAATATTGTACAATGATATTAACAATGAGATGAAAAGGTTTTCATAAAACAATTTAAGAATATTGTAATTCATCCATATATAGATTTAGGTAGAGGTTTTTAATTAGGAATTGTTACATAAAAATGTTTTCTTATTGTAAAATATCTATTCAGTTCATTTAACTTTCTTAGTATTATTATTTTATGTTAAAAGAAAAATATACAAATTAATTCTTTTGAATGAAAATCTTACTTAAAAAATATATAAATCTTTAAAAATCAATAGAAAAAAAAGAATTTTCGTTTTAAAAAACAATCGATTATAACGAATTTCTATAATAATAAAATATTTTTCTATATAGAAAGATTCATTTTCATATTTATTTTTACGTCAATAGTTAATTGCATCTCTCATACTTTTCTTCGTTGTTCAAATAACGATATTTGTGAGAAATGTTTTGTTTTCTTACGTTCTTTGTTAGTCATTATTTTTCTTATCCGTGATAAATCTATTTAGAAATAACTACATAAAAATAACTAATAGATATTTTCACATTTTCAGTATAGTTATCAATAGAAATTATGTTTAAATGGAAATATCAAAGAAGAACAATCGAAAAAACTTTTCGTCCGAGATTTAATATTTTTAGTTTGCTTTTCTTTTATTTGAAAACATTCTTCGAACTTATATCAAATATTCATCATGCTTATCATTGATTTATGCTCGTTCTATTTAGTTTCATACCGAAATATTGAAGAATTTGTTAGAAAATAACAGTTTTTTTTAATATGAATGTCAACTAGACAATAAAAACAATATATACGCATCTTCAAGACGATTAACTATCAATATTATATCAACAATTGCTCATTATCTCTTATTGAATAAATCAAACACTAAAAATCTTCATATCGAGTTTGTGACATTAAAGTTCATGATGATAATGATAGATCAAATATTTCTATTGATCTAATCAATCATTACATGAACATTATATCTTGAGGGTGTGGGTGTGGATCACATTATGAAATGAATACCATCCAGATCCACCCACATCCACTCATATCCACAATCACACTCACGTCTACGCCCACCCGACACCCAAAATCTCTCCTGATTTAGTTAACATTGTTGAAATGCAATATGTTATATTTATATATCAATTATAATAATGGCACATATTTTATTACAACAATATTCTTTCGTTTGTATATTTCACTGATTATCACTTATTTTCTAATTTACATATAATTAAATATAATTTTACTCTTCGGAACATACCAAACTTGTATATTTTCATCTATGATTTATTTTCTCAAAAAGTATTTCTATTAATTAACTATTCTTCACAATATTATTCTGATATTTTTTCTCTTTTCCTAATATCATTTCAAGGTAAGAACAAGAGAATGTTGATCTATGTCATATTCAACATATCTCAATTGTGATGTGTCGCTTATCATTGTTAATAATACATTGAGACAGAGAAAAGAAGAAAAAGTTCAAATATACAAATACACATACATGTACAATATGTTGAATATCAAACTGATTGTGTGATAAAAACTATATGAAGAATGAAAGAACATAACTCATATCATTCTCCACGTTTCGATTTTTCTTATCATTTGTGACACGTGTTATTCATTGTTTTTAAATTTATTTCTTTTTATTAATAAATTATATCGTTATGAGGATATTCCACTATTTTTATTATTTGTTTTAATAATAAAAAAAAAGTCAAATAATCTATATTGTATGTGTATCTTCAGATGAACCAATAAAATACATTGAACAAATACGTTGAGATACTAAATATTCATATTCTTCTTTTCTTTTTTTTTCTCTTTCAAAGTTAAATGTATTGTATCGAAAAAGGTGATGCATATACATAATATATGCGTCTACTAAATGCATGACTGAGTTGACCTATACACATAGATAGATAGATATGTGTATTAGTTGTATGCATCTCAAAGAATAAACAAACATATTTATTATATTTTATTTTCATTTTAGTTTTCAAGTAATGTGTGTTATGTTAACATAAATTTAACAAAATAATTATCACCTTCATATTCAACTTTATTCTCTCATGTAAATTTATAATATATTATCTATTACATTAGAATTTACTTTTACTATGACGTTTAATTAGAAAATATTATTAATGAATTATCAACTATGAAATTAATTATTACTATGACGTTATTTTCTATGAATAATCTTTGATTAAAATATTATTGTGATAATTTAATTATTATCGATTTTCGTCAAATTTGTTTTAACAATGAAGTAATTGATAAGAATTTAAAATTAAACTTCAGTATCATCTTTTAGACTTCTTCAACTAAATTTCATCTTATTTTTCTAGTCTAGTAATTCTTTCAATTATAATTTCACTAAAACAAATATTGTAATTTTTAGTTTTTCTTAAACTAGTTTTTACAATTTTCAACTTTAATACAAAGAAAAAGAATTATTTCTTAATGAGAAGCAGTCACTTTACAATAATAAGAATAGTAAATTATTAATTGAACGGAAATAATCCTTAGAATAACTATTTTAACAATATTCGATCATCCTATACATGATCAACATCTTTTTAAACACCTACAAAAATCTAAGATTTAATTCACTTTTATTTTAGATTCATAATTATATTTTTCTAAAATTTCAAATACGACACTTCTTCGACGTTTCCGCAAAATCATCTATGGAACCTATTTCAGGATGCGACAAATAGACTGGCGAAGTTTGTAAGTATTTTAGAGATTGTGTTTAATATTTTAATATCCTCGATAATCTCAAAAATCAAAACTTAAAATTGATTTATTTAATTTATTTCCTTTACTATAGTCTTACCAGTGGTGTTTTATCAATATGTTTTGTTGCAACTTGTGCAAATCGAATATTGGCATTTCATCATTATGGCAATAAAATGAATTTATCATCTAATACATTTCTTTGGATCTGGATTATTTTTATTCCTGATCTTATTGTTTTATTTATTTTGTATCTTTTATTATTTTATGTTGGATCGAAATATCCTCAATATAATTTGTATAGTATTCTAGTCGGTTTAGTGTATGCTCTATTTATTATTCTTGTTTCATCATCTAATATTATTATGTTGACAATAACAGGTATGAACTTATACTTTTATCTTATTTATCTTCTTCAATTCTAAAAAATTAATTTCCTTAGAATATTTTGTAATAATGAGTTAAGAAAACTTTTCAATCTTGATCCTCATCCCATAATTATTTTCATAGTTATTTTCCCGAGTTAAATAAATATTCCTTTTTATTTTATTAATAATAGGTCGTAATATAGATTGGAGAATTGTCTTTGAAGTGGATTTTACAGCAACATATAGTTTATATGTTCCACATTTATATTCATTTTTGTCTCTTTTGCTTTCACATTTTCTTCTTGGATCTACAATTTGGTCAATTAAAAATCATTTCACTCAAATATATACCGAATTACATTATGTTCTTTTCAAAATTATAAAAATATTAGTTTCTACTATTATTCTAATTTATATAATAATTAATCTCTTTTATTATTTGCCACAATCTTATCAAAATTTATCATCAAATATGGTTTTATCCTATTTTCATGAATAATTTTCATATTATTGGAGAACAACTGTATTTATGTCATTTCATACAGGAGAATCGATCGTCAATAGTATTACTGAAGCAATTCGTGCACCACCAGTTAATATTTCTGATCCAATCGTTACTTTGAAAAAACCAATAAAAAATGTTTTTCTAATTATTTTGGAATCAATTCATGCTGATGTTTTACCATTGAATGAACATTTTCTTAATGCTACACAATCTACTTTTACTTCTGATATTCCTCTTACAAATGTTACACCAATATTAAATTCATTTTGGAAAAATTCTCTTCGTACAATTGCATCATCAACATCATCTTATACATTAAAAAGTCTTGTTAGGATATTTTGTGGGATTTATCCACGTTAATCTCAATTTTCTCAAAGAAGTCAATGAAGAAAATATAGTTTATGAAAAATGTTTACCAGAATTACTTCATTACACATTTAAAACAAAAACTAATCAATCCAAATTTCGTTCAGCATTCTTTACATCAGCTCGTGGTGATTTTGATCATCAACGAGAATTAATTTAAAAATTTCAATCTCAATATGATGGATTTGATATTATTGAACAATCAGGATCTATTCCTGATCTTGGTATGTTTGGTCCTGCTGATCCAACTATTTTACCATTATTATGGAAATGGCTTGATGACACTTTAGTAGAAGATCAAAATCATCAATTAATGATCAGTTTATTAATTACTGAAACACATGAACCTTTTCTTTATCCAGATGATCGATCATATAATGATTATCAATATTATACAAATGATCCACGTATAAATGCTCATCTAAATACATTAAGAATAACTGATGAATTATTTGGAAAACTTATTCATGGTTTTAAATCACGAAAATTATATGATGAAACACTTTTTATTGTTGTAAGTGATCATGGTTATGTTTTTAATGATTATGGAAGTCAAACAGTTGGTTTATTAAGTTCACCTTTAGAATCAGCATTTTCTGTGCCATTAATATTTCATAATCGATATCTTCAACCTAAACAACTTCATGGACAATATTCTACCATGGATATATTACCAACTATTATGGATATATTATTATCATCAAAGAAGAAGAAGAAGAAGAAGAAGAAGAAGAAATTAACGAATCAATTATTATCATCTGTTGAAAATCAACAATTAAAAACAATCTTATCTTTATATGAAGGAACATCAATTCTTCGAAGAAGAACTGAAGAAGAATCTATTCGATATATATTTAATTTAGCTAATCCTGGTAATTCATTTCTAAGTGTTAAACAATATCCAAGAAAATTAACTTATGATATTACAAATGATGAAGTACATTTATATCATCTTCAATATGATCCATTTGAATCCATTGATTTAATTAATCTTTCTAATCAACCAATAGACAATTATCCATCATGGATTCACATAAATCATCACAAACAAATATTAAAATATGGATGGAAAGGACGGTGGACTAGTAAAACTATTCGTATTAGTATGTTTAGTCAAATATTATCGGAGAAAAACAAAAATAATCATTGGTTAAGACCAAAATCAGTTATTTTAAATAATTCTAAAATCAATCTAGATGAAATGTTAAATTGGGCTGATCGAACATTTGAATTAACTCGGCTTTGGACTAAACTTATTTTCAAAAGATATCGTACGAATAATACAAGATAGTTCATTTATAAAACAATATCAAATCAATTGAATAATATTAAATGAAATTATAGTTCAATTTTAACTTCAATTATTATAACAAACAAACATCAGAAATTATTGTAAACTTATCACAATTTATATTGTCTGCATATTTACAATGATTAATATAGAGCCAATAATAAAATTATTAAGAAAAAATAAAGTGACGTCGACAAAATTATTATTATGTAATCGTAAACTATATTATTTCCATCAATAAATAGATGTTTTCAATATGAAAAAGCAAAACATAGAACACTAATATAACGATCACATTTTATTCCGATGTTTTATAAGTGAAAAAATATATTTTTGAATTTGTTCAATTAAATATTAAATAAAACAATTTTATGATATTTTGATTAGAAATTTTCAAAAAATAATACTGTTGGATTTAATATTTATGATAAACAACCGTAGAATGTTAGCTTAGATAACCAAATCTTATTACCAATCCATCGAGTGATAACAATACAAATTTATTTGATCATCAATGACTTAATCACAATATTCAAGAAATTAGTTGGCATATTGAGATAACTGTAGAATTCATAATTGATAAATACATGAATGATTCAGTTAAACATATTATTGTCTGATTCGAATAGTCGTGAATGATCATGTCAATAAATACTATATGTTTTCCTCTAAACTGTAAGAATACAATCTAAGAACAAGAATTGATTTATATCCATATACTGTTTTTGTCAATAACATGCCATAAAATGAACAAACCGTTCTAATACTGCTGATCATTTTAAAATTGCGTAAACAAATACCTTGAACCATTGTAAAGATTGATAAGTATTTTATGAAGATATTTATTTTACAATAGACTGACTACTTATTTATGTATGGAACTTGGCTTGAATATATACTTACTAATAGTTGCAAATTATTTTCGATATTGTATAATTTTTATTAGTTAATATCGGATTATTTGAATAGCATAATATTTTATTTATTTATTCATCTCAAAATGGTACTAACTTAAATATTTGAAAACTTTCTTAATTATATGCAGATCACTGTTTCATTGAATAAATATAAATAAAGAAGTAACGCTAATTTTACTTTTAATAGGGAGGAAGATAAAAATAATATTAAAAATAAAACGTTCGTATACACAGAATACTATATAAAGCTTTGAAAAAAAGTACATGTATGTTTATACAGCATGTTATTTATCATAATATTTTTAATGCATGCATGAAAAGAACGATGATGTCTCCAAACATTTTGTACGATAACTCAAAACAATAAAGCCCACAGTATTAAACGCTTCAATAAGTATGCATCGTAATTTGATAATTCTAAGATTTTAGTAGTTGCATTATTGTAAAATATTTTCAATAAACTTGTCGGTTCAATTGTGATGTATATTGAGAGAGAGATTCATACTATAACTTTATTTTTGAGATCCTACTTTTTATAAAATTGACTTTAAAAAGGCTAAAGTATTAACAAACTTCTAAAGAATGCTTGATTCTAAATAAAGTTAAAGTTCAATTTGATTTTTTGATGAAAGTCGAAACTAATATTGATCAACTATCATTGATATCTAAATACATTCATTTATGGATAGAGACTACGATAGTCTGGGGCAAAGTGAATCGAGTTTCAATGAATGTTACTTGTAAATATACATATGAAATTTATTATAGAACTGAATTTATGATTTTGATTTCTCATACCTCTTTAATTTATTTTATTGTTTGTATACCTTTAATCAAACTCTAACTTAAAGCTTCATGATTGTGTAGAGATTAAGAGCAATCGACAATTCATTGTTTTTTTTTCTTTGTAAAAGGTTTAGAATTAGATTTGAAAGACTTTTTACATATAGTATTTTTGTTTATTTCTAATTTACATTAATCGTTTAATTTACTGTCTCTGAGTCTATAATGATACTATGTCACTCCTACACAACAGGTAAGAAGAAAATATTATTAATATTTACATTTATAAAAAAAATATCGAAAAGTTTTGCTTTTAACAAAAGGTTGCCTACATTTTTTGACAATATAAAATGAAACAGATACAATGGATGAAGGACGCGAAGCCACTGAAGCAAAGAGGATCAAATCATTCATCATAGTAATACATATAAGCGTATATAGACATCAAGTTTCATAATACTGTATATTTGAAAAGAGAAAGACAAACATGAATGATAAAGAGCCACTATTAACGACATATAACAAATTACCTATTGACAATGATAGCGACAATGAAAATAAAAGGTATGATTTAAAAAATATATCATACTCATAAACACATAAGAACTCATCATTATTTATAGTGCTTCTGATTGGCGTCAATATTTCAGTCGACAAAAGACTGATGCTAAGAATAAAAGCATAGATGATGAGATCGAACAGACTACTAAAAATACTCACGTCAGTCTTCTTCAATTGGTAAGTATAATCAAACATTAGATTTCATAGGATAAACTAATAAAAATACTAAGTCAAAATCATGTTGTTTTTCTCTTTAATAATATATATATATATAAATTAATTCATTTTATTTAATCATAGTTTCGATTTGCTGATTGTATTGATCTTGTTCTTATGATTACTGCTCTGTGTTTCATGTTGGGAGATGTAGTTAGTAGTCTCGCAACTATAATTCTTTTTGGTCGAATCACGGGATTATTTGCCACTACACAATTTGCTGTTGATTGTGATAATCAATATCAAAATTCAGTTTCTACAATTATCAATAATACTGTATGTCCTTTTGGTATTGATCTTAATCCATTAAATTATGATCGATTACATAAGTAATTTACTAAAAAAAAATTTACTTTTAAATATTGTTAAAATTTTTCTCTGTAGACTATGCCATTATGATAATAAAACTATTTTAACCACATTAGCTCCGTTAACACCTTTATTTCATGAAAATGTTATGCATCTAGTTTATTTGTTTTTCGGTAAGTCTACTGAATATGATAATTTAAATAAAAAAAGCAAACGATTTCTTGTTTCTCCGTGTGGATGTAGGTTTCAGTATTCTTACATTTATATGTACTGTTCTCGAATATTTCTGTTGCACAATAGCTGCGAAACGACAAACATCTCGCATGAGTGTTTTACTCTTCCGATCACTTATTCAACGTGTAAGTGAATATATTTTTTAGTCATAAAATACTTTATAGTTCGTGATCATAAGTCAAAATTAAATAGTATCAAATTTCTACTAGATTTGACTTTACTTCAGTGCAGATCTGCATTGTAAATATTTTGTATTATATAGTCAAGCAAATGTTCTTATTTCTTCAAAGACGGTTATTCGTTGATGCGTTACTAAAATAAGTGATTATGAACGATTGAACTGGTTAAAATATAGTTTATTCTTTGTATTTCTCTTGCTCTAAGTCAAATATAACACAAAATTAACTAGATTATTTTGGTCTCGATTTCTAATTTTCTTTTCTCAAAATATTTTTCTAATCAACAAACTAATAATTCTAAAAACATTGTTAATATATCAATTAAATCATGAAAATAATCAATGCAAAATGTATAAGAGATGAGAATGATAATACGAATGAATATCAAAAATTATGTTGAACGTAAAGTTACCGTGAAAAAACTAAAGAACTTTCTTATTAATACAATATAAAAATAGTTTTAATTAATTAGTTACAAAATAACATTAAAGAAAATGATAATAATGAACTCATTATTTTCAATACATTCATACACTGGTTAAATTAGAATTAAAGATACAATAATCTGTTATTTCCCTTTCATCTTTTTTAGAACATGACATATTTGGATACAAATCAAACTACTCAATACAATACAAAGCTTTTTACGTAACTAAATATTATAACTTTATAGCAAAATAATTCTATATGGTCGATTTCCTTTACAGTAATATTGAAAAGATCAAACACGGCATAGGTTTTGAATTCTTCATAACAATTGGAATTATTCTAATCATGATTCTCAGTATAATCATATCTTTTATTATCAATTGGCAATTATCTTTAATTATGTCTTGTATAATTCCACTTGTTGTTGGTAGTGCATTGATGTTTGCTAAGGTATAAATTATTATTTAATTCGCTAAATTTTTATCAATAATTACAGGTCATCGCTAAACAAACAGAAGAACAATTAAGTTCATATTCAAAAGCTGGACAAATCGCTCAAGAAGTATTTAGTTCATTAAGAACTGTTCTTTCATTCAATGGAAGCAAATCGCAACAAAAACAGTAAATAAACAGATAAATAAACAAAGATTTATAGTTTATTGTATTATTTATCTTTATCTAGATATGAAAAAGAATTAAAATTAAATGAATGGTATACTGTTCGCAAAGATGCAGCATTTGGTGCTTTTTTTGGTTGGTTATTTTTTATAAACTTTCTCGTTTATTCAATTGGTTTCACTTTTGGTTCTATTCTTATGTCTGATGGAAATCATCGTACACTGACTATTAGTGATATTCTTGTTGTAAGTCAGCTATAATACCGATATGCATAAGAAAGTAACTGAAGAAAGAACTTTTGTTTAGGTTGTTAATATGTTTGCACAAGCTTTAGGTTTTCTTAATGCAATTGGTCCTTTTTTCCAATCAATCTCGGAAGCTCAAGGTGCAGCAATATCCGTATTTCGACTTATCGATGAGGTAAAATACATTATATATATATACTAGGGACTAAACTTTGATAATTAAATTTTCTAATTTATTTTATGATATAGGCACATCATGAAAATATCAATGAAACAGAAATATTGCAAGAAAACATATCTGATGAAAAATCGATTTCTACTATTAATGGTGATATTCAGTTTGACAATGTTACTTTTTCTTATCCATCGAGAGAAAATGCAACAGCTTTGAATAATCTTAAATTCAATGCGCGTGCGAATCAAACAACTGCTCTTGTAGGTTCAAGTGGTTGCGGTAAATAGTTTTTTCTAAAACAAACATAACATTTTAATAGCGAAATTCATTCATAGGAAAAAGTACATGTGTATCACTTCTTCTTCGCTACTACGAACCTTCCTCAGGCAGAATCATGATTGATGGTCAGTCAATTACAGATTATAAAATCAAACAATTTCGACAAAATATTGGAGTTGTTAGTCAAGAACCTGTAAGTTTCTTTCATTTTTCTCTTAGTCTTTTGTCAAATTTTTCTATTAAAATAGATTTTGTTTGGAATAAGTATTTATGAAAATATTCGTTTTGGTAAAATGAATGCAACACGTGCAGAGATTGAACAAGCAGCAGAACAAGCTAATGCACATAAATTCATTATGAAACTACCAAATGTTTGTTCTTAATTATTTATATATATATATATTAATCTTTTTGTTTGTAGAAATATGAAACACTTGTTGGTGAGCGTGGTATACAATTGAGTGGTGGAGAAAAACAACGTATTGCATTAGCTCGTGCACTTATCAAACAACCCACCATTCTTTTGTTAGATGAAGCAACAAGTGCACTTGATAATGTTAGTGAAAGAATTGTTCAAGAAGCACTTGATCGAGCATGCAAAAGTAAGAATTATTTAATTACTATTAATTATATTATTATTATTATACTATAGATCGGACAACCATAGTTATAGCTCATCGTTTGACTACGATTCAAAATGCTGATTATATCTATGTATTAGATAAAGGAGGTGTTATTGAAGAAGGTACACATGAAACATTATTGGCAAGAGAAGGAGGGAAATATCAAACAATGGTCAAAATGCAACAATCTGAAAAAACGATTGATACACATGACGGTTTAATGAATATGGCAAAAGTAGTAGCTGAAGATGAAGAACAAATATGTATGCCACTATTCTAATATTAATGATTCTTTTATTTTATAAACTTCATTCTGTTTTGTTTTTTTCGAATAGTGGAACGCATTCGTCTTTTGAGTGAGAGCGAAGCAACTGATATAAATCAGGTAAAAATAAATATCTAATAACTTTAAAAAATTATCATTAGTGTATGAATTTCTAGAGCGCTTCGATATCAACAAGAAAACAATTTGTCTTTGTAAGACTCTTGAAGATGAATAGTCCTGAATGGATGTTTATCTTGATTGGTTGTTTAACATGTTTATTTGGTGGATTACGTGGACCAATGTTCTCTATTCTATTCGCAAAAATAATCAATGTGAGTAATTTTAGTCGTATGAATATTCTAACAAAAGATAAATGATGTGTCTTTTTCTGTCGAATTTTTGTTTTATTTAGGAATTTAATGATTGTAAATACACTGATATACGTTATCGAGTGTTGATTACAAGTGGTTTATTAATTGTCATCGGTGCTGTTTTTATGATTCTTCGTTTTTTTCAAGTAAGAATTTTATTTCTGAACTATATCAATGAGTTTTTTCATGTTCGCTTATAGTTTGTGACTTTTGGAATCGCAGGAGCGAAATTAGTTAGTCGTATTCGTTCAAAAGCTTTCGCATGTTTTCTTCGTCAAGAAGTCGCTTATTTTGATCGACCTGAAAACAGTTCTGGTGCAATATGTAATCAACTCTCTTCTAATGCAGCTGCCATTGAAGACATGGCTGGTACAAGACTAGGTGTTATCTGTGAAAGTTTATCCATGTCTGCTTTTGGCTTCTTACTTGGTCTTTTTTACAACTGGCAATTAACACTAATCATAGCTATTCCTTTCTTTATCATGCTGATTGCTGTTGTTATAGATATACGACTAAGTTCATGGTTGAAAACACAAGCTGATATCATTTACTCTCAAGCTAGCACGGTAAAACCATCTTGTTACTCATAATCTTTAAATGTGTGATAGAGTTGTATTATTATACATTACTTGATCAAATGATTATTAAATATTCTATGATTTCTCTTCTTTAGCTTGCTGTTGAAGTTATTACGAATATGCGTACAGTAAAACAATTATCAATGGAAAATGAAGTCTTACAACAATATTCAAATATGATTGATCAAATATTAATGTTAGTCTTATGAGTATTATGCATGTATATATATTTGAAAAAAAATAAGCTATAACCTTTTTAAAGTCGACGCTTGAGTGAAATTTGATGATATAGTTGCTTTGATTGTAATCCGTTTATTTTCTTATCATAGTAGATCTAAATTAAGAATTGTATGTGATTTGTCAAACGATACTTTTATCGCCACATCGATTCATCCGTAATCAGTGGAAATATAAATGACTTAAATTGAATTAGAGCGTGGGTGTAGAGGTGGGCATAAATAACAATCAAATACTCATTCACAGCCATATCCAATACGAGATAAAAAGCAGATTCTGAATCCTAGAGATAATACTATGAATTCTAATGGATCCTCACTTGGATACTGATGAACTTTGATGAATTATGCGTGGTTCTACAAGATCTTCAATAACCTCATAGGTCCTAGCATCAGTCAAAATCATCAGGATTTAATCTTGAATCTATTTTAAGATTCACCAATATTCAGAGAATCCATGAGGATCTCGAAGTATTTACCTAGGTTTACAGTGTGTAGGATACAGGATCCGGTTTTTTTCTCCTTGTCCACACGCACATCCTAACTCCGTTAAAATCATCTATGCTTTCTCCGATTCTGGATGAATTGGCTTATCAACGAATTACTGTGTCGACAAAGTGCCGTATTGTTGTGAATTTTTTGACGATAATTTTTCGATCAAGTGCATAGTTACTCTCAATGACAACCTAAGTATATATATAAATCAATAAAGAAAGCGCCGAGTGGTTTTAAGAATCTTGATTAATTCTGTCACAAAAATGTTCTTCTATATCCACAATGGACTAACAATATCGAATATAACTCTCTTTCTCTATAGATATTCACTTCAATCTCCAATAAATTATTTTTTGTTTAGAGTGTTTTGGAGACCTGAAGCACTGTTTGCAATGGTATATGGATTGTACTGGACGATGAGTCCATTGACTTTGGGACTCTTATATTGGCGTGCTTTGATTCTTGTTGAAAAAAATGAACTAGACATGAGCGATGTTGTTATGTAACTAAAACAATAGTTTCAATAATCTATAAATTAACTTTTATCATTTATTTTTATTTTTATAGGATTTCTGCTTTTGGAATGTTCGCACTAGAAGCACTAAAAATTGTTGGAATGTTGTAAGATATACTATTTATGTTCTGTTCTTGTTTTTGTCATTTTCGTTTTAGAGGAAAACGTATTGGTGCATCATTTGCTGCTGCTCACGCTTTTTTTGATCTATTTGATCGAATACCAATTATCGATAATGAATCAAATAAAGGACAAGAATTAGTAAAAGAAAAAAAAAGCTATTGTCTTTCAGCTCTATATATTTTAATCTTGAACTGTTTAGACTAACTTTAGTGGAGAAACAGAATTTAATCAAGTCAAATTTATGTATCCAACTCGTCCAGCAGTCCTTGTTCTTAATAAACTTCAACTGTCGATTAAATCAGGTCAACGGATAGCTCTTGTTGGTATGCTTAAATGAATTATATCTTCTTGTTTATTAATCAGATAATATAATATAATCGAATTAGGTGCATCTGGATGTGGAAAATCAACTATAGCTCAATTATTAGAACGATTTTATGATGTTACAAATGGACAATTAGTAAGTATCTCTTTTCTTTATCTATAATTCAAATACTTATATAGAAACATATTCTAATATAAATAAGACTCTTGATGGTGTTGATATTCGACATTTAAATCTCCAATGGCTTCGTTCTCGTCTCGGTGTTGTTAGTCAAGAACCAGTTTTATTTGATTTAACAATTGCTGAAAATATAACATATGGACTAGAAAATATTCCAACTGATGAAATTATTCTTGCTGCAACTAAAGCTAATATTCATCAATTTATTCAACAATTACCTCAAGTTAGATAAATATTAAATTATTTATTAATATCTTCTTATATTTTCATATAGGGTTATGATACAAAAGTTGGATTCAAAGGTAGTTTTTTATCAGGTGGTGAAAAACAACGTATTGCTATTGCTCGAGTTCTTATTCGTCGACCTAAAATATTATTATTAGATGAAGCTACAAGTGCTATGGACCCATATAATGAACAAGTAAGTAGTTTATTTTCTTTTCTATATTTATATCATTCAAATTTTCAAATAATTTGCAGATAGTACAAGCAACTCTTGAACAAGCACAAACAGAAGATCCTAGTCGAACATCACTTATTATTGCACATCGTCTTTCAACAATACGTTCATGTGATCTGATACATGTTCTTGAAATGGGTTGTATAATAGAAAGTGGTACTCATACTGAACTAGTACAAAAAGGTGGAATTTATTATAAAATGTTAAATACCCAAAACAACGTGCATTAATTATTATTCAACTATTTCATTAACAAATAAATAAATATTTTTACATCTATAACCATGAACGTATTTTTACTAATTATCATTTTTCTTCTAATATATATGAACTAAACTTTGAATTGAATTATATCTAACTTTATAGAGAATTTTAATCATCAACTTTTCATATCAGCGAAGTATTTGAATGAAGTAAATAATAGAAGAGAAATTGTGAAAGTATTAAGACACTATTTTATTTTACACTATAAGTTTACAATATCCATTGATTACTCTTTTATTATTATCTTACCATAAAAAAATAATACATATACTTCGCATACTTTTACATAATCTTTGATCTGATCTATATTGTATCCTAATTTTAACACAAAATATGAATATCAAGTGCAATTGTTTCGATTGAATAAATAAAGAAAAGGGTGTGGGTGTGATTGATGAGCTTAATAATATACCCACACCCACACCCACCCCTGGGATTCTTTTCTTAATTTCTCACAGAAAGCAGAAGCTAAGAGTGAATATATGCTTCAAATGGAAGATAAAAACACAGTTATAATTTAATTCAAAAATAAATAAACAGCTTTGAAAAAGTAAAATTTCAATGAGCAAATCTCCAAATGAAATTTGCAATTACCCATTTGCTTTCTTCCTGGCTACGCTGATCGTGAGTGTGGGTGTGGGAAGTACTATTGTATCCAAAACTCACCAGCACCCGTGCGTAGACGACAACTGTTTCACGTCTTTTTATTAATCTTATGTTTTGCTGCTCACTCTTTTTTTCAGCAGAAAGAAAAAGAACGAATTCAAGTTAGAACAATCGTCGCAAAACGCGCTGCTTACAAAATCAATATAGAGAAAAGTTTTTTTTTTTTAAATGAAATTTTCGTCGTCAATGTTTGCTGGGAGTCAACACAGCACTCAATGTCATTAAATCACTTGGAAGAATGCAAAATCAATTTCAACCATTTTGATGCTGTTGCTGTTGTGAGATGTAGGAGTGGTGAGCATCGGTATGAGAAGAAAGAAACGGTTAAGGTGAATGTGGGGATGTTATTCTTCGTTTACTCTCACCCACATCCTCAAGATTGGTCTCCGTGGGTGTTATATAATACAACCCTCATAAAGCTTGTCTAATTTTTTCAGACAAAATATTGTAATGTACTATTTTCAGTTTATCAATGCACAAATAGGTACATTTCAGATTGAATATAGTTTCCTTAGTGAACAAAAAACAAAGTCGATACTTTCATTAGAGTAAAAAGTCCTTCATCCAATAAGAATGAGACCTTGAAATGTGTTGTAAATAGAAAAGTTTTAATTAAATTGTAACATATTTATTGTAAGTTTTATTTTTTGAATACAAAACAAATCAGCAAAATGAGAATCATTCTCTTTCTCGAGGATGGACGAGAGTTTGAGTGTAAATGAAGTTTTTGGTAAGTGTGGACGTTATATTACGCTGATATTCACATTCACCTATACACATTCTCAAATATTATGGCTACATCTTTGCACATTTATTTTATGAACAAGAGAAAATAAAATGATTTTACATAGGACAAAATACTCGTTTAGATTTAGTAGATACTATAATGTTCACACATTGTTAATTAAGGCTAAGGATTGGGTCAGTATAAAATTGCACATATTACGATAATCTAATAGTTTTTCATATTGTTTACTTCATCTCACATAACTTGACCATGCCCATGCTTTTGCATATCTACAAGTTCTAATAAAACTTCATATCCAGCGACTACTGCATCAATCACAGCTATCTTCGAACCCAAGGTAATTACAGATTGTTGTACCGTGCTCTCCAATCCACTCATTCCTGCACATCCCAAGACAATAACATCACATCCATTCTTTTCAACAAGTTCTCTGGCTGCTTCAGCTATGGCAGCATTGACAATATCTTGTTCAGCAAGTTTCAAACCAGCAGGAGAAATATTAGTTGCTTTAATTCCTCCACATCGATGATCAAGTGTCATATTACGAACACTCTTAGCAAGTAATGCCTCCCACTCTTTATTCGTTGTTACAATTCCAAATCGATGTCCTAAAAGTGTTGCATGTACAAGACTGGCTTCCATAATGCCAACCACTGGTTTATCGGTATGTTCTCGTAACATTTCGACAAGTGGATGTTCAGAGAAACAAGCAACAAGAAAACCATCATATTGTTGAAGAAGAGGTATCAAATTGTGAATAGATGCAGCAGCAGATAAAATTTCAGTTGTAAATGATGTAATCTCAGCGGGAGCAGTGGAGGGAGCGGTAAATTGATCCACTTGACTAGATGAATAGTTTTCTAGACCGATTAAAGCTTCTGCTGCAGCAGATGTCATAGAAGATGTACTATTAGGATTTATTAATAAAATTTTCGTTTGTATACTTGAGGGTAGAGATCTAGATGCAGGCATTTTTTGTTCTACGTTGTTATATATTCATTTTTTAAATCATATTCGAGGGTGCACTTTATTCCAAAGAGAAAATATGTGTGATAAAATTTGGCTCTTTATTATCTTTCGTCTAGGACAAATTACTTTCGTTTATCTTTCAGTTGTTAAATGTGTCGATTTTTTTTTGCACTAAATGGAAAGATATGAGTATGCAAATAGCGAATGAATACATGATAAATTTATCCAATGTTCTCGAACATCAAAAGGAATGATTTTTTTTTAATTTTCTCATCAAAATTTTTCAAAAATAATGATGAATTTTAAGGAAAAATTTATCAAAAATGAAAGATGTACACTTAAGTGTACCAATAGGTATACAAATGTTAAATTTTCATATTCATGTATGATATCATCCTTGTGCGACACTATCTTTGTAATATGCCAACCTTGTATAATGTAACCTTCATTATGAAAGGAGTCTCGTCCTTGTTCTTTCTCTTTTCTTTCACCTCTCTCGTATATAAGTTTGCATTATATATAAAAATTCGTTATGTTCTTCTCTACCAACTACTAAATATCTCGACTATCTAACGGATGCCCACAATACTTCTATTCTTTTGAATGAGCGAGAGTGTGGGCGTATTGAAGAGAGCATCTACATGCATTCTTAATACTTTTTCAGTTGAAATTATTTCCATCTTTCCAAAATTTTCTTTTTCTTTGTTTTGTTACCTCTCGTCACCTTTTTGCTTGAAATGTTTTATCAAATTTCTTTTTCAAATCAAATATATAGTTGAAAAAAAATTCATAAAACACTTAGAAAGATTTAATCGACAAAAAAAAGACGGTTCAGCTTTGTATATACGGAATTCTTATTAATATGAAAATAATTAAAAAATATTACTCAACAAATATCCTGATAATGATAATGATGAACGTAAGACTGGATGCATGACAGAGAGTGATCTATGTCTGATCTTTACCTACATCAAAATCTAAATTGAAACACTCTTTTATTGAAAAAACATAACAAAAAGCGTTTGTATTTTTATTTAAAATTAAAAATAAATCAATTTTCAGTTTCTTCTACTGCTAAGCAATATTTTTAATGTCATTGAATCATTAAGTATATGTCTAAAAAGGTAAATAAGAGAATTATTCAAAGACATGGCAATGGCAAATAACAAAACATAATGTTTTAAATGTAATAAAGAAAAAATAAACTACCCTTGTGAAGGATGTTTAAAAAGATTTTATTTTATCCATTTAATAAGACATCGTCAAATATTAAATGAAAAATTAAATAATATTATTAATGATTATGATCAATTAAATTGATCGATGCGGAAAGAATTAAATTTAAAAAAAAGCACAAGATTGTAAGAAAACTATCATTAAATATTCACAAAGTTTTTTTGATGATATTGAAAAGACATTTAAGCATTTAACTGAACAAATTCATAGAGAAAATGAAATTAATTTAAATTATCTAAGAGATGAATTAATAAAAATAAAAATTATAACATTTATTCGTGTATAAAAGAAAAGAATGATAAGATGTGAAATCATATTAAATTTAGAAATATTTTCTTCAAAATTTCAAAAGGTATTTGATTAATAAGAATAAAAGTTAATTATTCTAAGAAAAAAAAAGATTAATAAAAAACATATTGTTAGAATTCTATCATTTTAGATATTTTATATCAAAATTCTTGATAAATTGGAACAATCAAAATCTTTCTATTAGTTACAATAAAAAAGAGATTTTTATATTATTTCAAAGAAAAAAATCAGAGTTTCTAATGATTATAATAACAATTTATCAATAAGAATGGAAGTCTGTGAATGCATTTATCACACTCGGAATCCATCATAAATGCATATAAAATAAATTATTTATCTTGATAAATCAATTATACAAGTGGTGAAAATTCCATTCACCTTTAATGTACTTATAAAAGAAACGAGTTTAGTGTTAAATTCATAGTATAAAATTGAAGAGAAGATATGTGGAACTGTATAGCTCCGCAGTCAAACGTGCTACATATTATTTATTTCTTAGTTATAGTATAAATATCGTTCATCACTAATTGATATCAGCATAGAACACACCGGCACCTCCCCCCGTTTTCATCAGCCAAAAGGATATTATATAGCTGTTACCAATCGTTGTCGCGACTGATTGGCCAAGAAAGTCATAGCCAGTGTTGCAACGGCCGCTATAGCATGTATTACCAGAACCAGAGTGACAGCCACTACTGATGATGTTACCGCCATCACCGATACTTGAACAGGAAGATGCACACCAGGTGACCCATCCAGATGGTACTGTTGTTGAATTCTCAAAGCTAGGATTTTGAAGAAGCTGAATCGAAGATGCATTTCGACTGACGAAAGACACATCATCCAAATAGGAAACTTCTCCTGCAGGTCCACCGTGTATCGTAAATGTAAGAGTAGATATCGAATTCGTTGCCGTATAGTTAAAACTAAACTGTGTCCAAGACATAGCGTTACTCTTTGAAAACAGCGAACCGAGACCTGACGACGATGTGCATGACGTTGCTACAACAAATCGATATATAATAGAAAATTTGACAGAAATACTCACTAGTTGTAGTTAGTGACGTTGTTGTCTTTGATGTTGTGGTTGTTGTCTTTGATGTTGTGGTTGT